TTTGTGAAACACAAACTAAAAGAAATTTTGAAGTATATGTGGGTAAAAAATTTTTATCCACTTCCCTTCCCACAAATGGTAGAAGACATTAGTAATTGGCATTACAACAGCTATTTCTTGTTTCACATTTTATTTCCGCACGGACTGCGCTAAGAGATTTGATATTAGCTTTGTAATGATGTGTTGAACTTAGGGACAAAAATGGCTTGGTGTTGATATTAGGGGCAAAAAATGGCTTGGTATCGATATTAGGGGCAAAAAACGGCTTGATGTTGATATTATGGACAAAAAATGACTTGGTGTCGATATTAGGGACAAAAAATAGCTTGATGTCGAAATTAGGGACAAAAAATGGCTTGGTGTCGATATTAGGGACAAAAAATAGCTTGATGTCGGTATTAAGGACAAAAAATGGCTTGGTGTCGATATTAGGGACAAAAAATGGCTTGGTGTCGATATTAGGGACATTTTTTTTTCATTGATTTTAGACATCTTCCTCTCAACTTATTTTACTCATTAGAAACAAATTCGTTTTTTATGAACCTTTAGATTATGATAGATCTTGACATGCTCTACAAAATTGCTCAGATGACCTTTGCTCGTTTTCTGATCAAAAGACGTAAAAAACTTGTTTCTTCTCAAAAGATTGTATTTTGCTTGAATTTTGTATAAGTGTCGATATTAGGGACAAAAAATGGCTTGCTGTCGATATTAGGGAAAGTGCTTCTAATAACGACAGATGCAGTTCATCATCGTAGACCGCTAATTTCTCCGTGAAAACATTGAAGAAAAAAGATTATTTATATACCATTTGAAAGAGCAAGATCCAGGGATTATGCATATATAAAAATATTTTATTTCATATATAAAATAGCTGTGCACGGACTCAAACAAGAAAAAACAATTTTTGCTGTCGATATTAGGGGCATTTACTCTATCGTTTACATATAAAGCACACATTTATATGCACAAGTAGAATAAGAGATGATGAAAAGAAAGATGATGAGACCAAGGAGAGAACAATGTAAGAATGAACAAGTGATGAGGCCAAGGAGAGAACAGATATAGAAGAACAATAGAGTAAGAACACATAGATGAGAGCAATACATATAATATACGAGTGAATGGTGATACAGAATGAGAAGCGCATTACGACAGAAAGAGAACAAGGTTCAATCGTGCATAGATAAGCGTAAGAGTAACGCGATTGTGCAAACTACATAATATCGATTACACAACACCACATAGAGAAAGGAAAGATATCACATAAGATGATATGCCCATTGGCACATTTCCCCCTTCAATTGAGACGCGCTTCTGAGCGTCTGCAAGATTTGAGGTGATAATCAGAAACACAAAATATTGAAAAGTGAGACACATTTAACACGAGTATACAAACAAAAATTTAAATTGTTGTACTCACTCTTGATTGAGTTAAGTACGAGACGGGTGTGGGTGTGTGGGTGTGAATCTGAATGTTGGTGAAAACTTAATGGACACCCACACCCACATCCTAATATTGCAGGAGGTAAGACTTCTGATGAAACGAGTCATAGTCTTGACGAAATATAATAAGAGGTCTCAGATAGAGATTTACAGGTTAGAATAAAACTGACAACTCATTATGTTGGTTCTGAATCTGCTCGGATCTATACTGAAGTTTGGATCCTAAAATTCCTGTTAATTAAATCGGAGTTCAAAAAAGATTCAATAATTCGGATATGTATCCTTTAATTTAGCATCTGACGGTTTGTGTTAGAGGTACTGTAGAACAAGGTCATGATTTGAAATTATTTTATCAATTTGGACAAGAAGAAAGTTTACCGTGCACATCTATATCCTGAGATAATGAAATATTTTTGTTTTTATGAGCATCATAAATTTGAAAATTAATACATAGCAAGTCAAATGAAAAATTTCGTTACCGTCATTTATATGGTTTACTCTAATCGAAATGAAAGAAAAGGAACAAGAATAGTTCTTGCATTAATCAAGATATCGTGCTGTTTGTATAATATTACTGAATAGAGTTCATGTTGACCTAGAACAATGTATTGAATACACACATGAAATCAAATGATTAATTTTACTCGATTTTATCTGCACACTAGTTGTTAATTTGTCTTGAGATCTAAATTTAGTGTTTTGATTAATATGACTATATATCTGAAATAAACGATCACTAGTAATTAGAGGTAATAAAAAAAAACATAAACAACCTTTTCACGAGGACTAATATGCGTTTCACACATGCGATATCTAAATTACGCAGTAAATTTCATTTCAGATGATGACATTCAACATCCAACTAGTAGTGAAAATTCACTAACAACACAACATTCAACATCCTATGTTCCTGAATCAAGTAAATCAAATTCTATATTAAATGCCCATTTGAAAAAAAAAGAATTCTTTGTATTTAGAAAAAAGAAAATATTCAAAATATAGTGATAATGATAATCAACATAGAAGTATTCTTGTTCCATCGATTGGATGTAAACTTTTATTATTGTTTCTTTTTTCTAATTATATCAACTCTGCATGTTGTTTGTTTTTAGTTGATATATCAACATATCAAATGCGTAGTGTTCTTCCGTCGATAAGTAATTCGATAAATTTAACAAATTCATTATTCGAACAAGAAGATACATTACCACCACTAAATACATATCGTTATGATAATGATGATCTTAT